TACATCAATAGCCCTTTGTAATTTATGGCAAACAATCTGGTATGAGCCGTAGATTAACACGCCTTTACATCTCTACATGAGGTATTCAGTTAGAAAAGGGGACAATATGTGACATGGGACAACATTTCATGTAAGTGAAATACTCATGTTTAATACATTTCCAGTCAAATTGTCAAAATAAAAATCATGGTTCATGGTTCAGAAGACTCAAAATCGCGGGTTATAGTAAACAGCTTCTCATGTAATCAATGTTAATTTTCTCAAATCTTAAACAATATGTAGTATAACTGTCCAATGATTGAATGATCAATGATCATAAACTGAAAAGCCCCAAACCTTTTTTAATGATAAAGTAAGTAATAGTATGGCACCTTATGGCTTCAGATTTTTTGTCCATTGAAATATATTTGCAGGAATGTAGGATTTTGCTACCATATAACGGCCACGATTCCCCAAGCACTAAAGAAATCATAGCTAAAAGTCCTTCGGCAACAACAATTTTAGAAGCTACATGTTTGTAAATGTAGATCGTCCAGGTTGGTATAGTCCTGAGAAGGAATGTTTTTGTTGTTGTTGTTGTTGACACTTACTTCATATACTTAATTTTTGAAGCATCAATCTGCTTACCACACGCCATATTGACATAAATCGCATCACACACTCGCATAAATTGACTTTGATATATTACATTTATGCATACACTTCACTTGTCTTTTACTTACGATTTTGGATGTAAATTTCTGCTGGAAAAACTCAAAACAATGTTGGCTTTCTTTTGAACATCATTGACTGAAATGTCACTCGCGAGATCGTCTATGCTTGCATTTACAATTTATCCATAAATTTTTCACCCTCTTGAAAAAATTCACAGTTTGGACAGCAGTATTCATGTCAATATATGAATTTGTAAAAGATTTCCATAAATTCCATCTGATTGTAGTTTAGTTTCTATCATGCTTATAAAAATTACTATGAAACGATCAAACATTCAATTCGGACAGTGAGCTTGACTATGTTAGTTCAGTTGGCTATCAGTCGAAATCGGTCAAACCAATCCTAATAAAACAAAAATTCAAATGATCTAATTGTAAGATAGCAATTGGACTCCTTTATACGTCCGGCCACCTCTCTCATCGGTCGAGACCATTCCAGAATGTCCACTTAAATGGCCATTAACCAATAAAATAAGCGTTTTTGGCGTTCATAGACTCCTTTATCAGTTGAACTAGTCAAGCCACTTCGCTTATCAGTCGGTTATTCCAGGTCAATTAAAATTCAACTGATCTGGTTGCCAACGAGATGTTCATTGGATTAGTTATTAGTTTTCAATAATAAATAAAGCTGGACTTTTATCACGAAGTAAATGCGATAATAAAGTAAAAATAATTAATAAGTTTTTAATTAACATGACTAGGTAATTTTTGAATTTCAAACATCAGTCGCGCGACGGATTAGACATACTCTGGATCCGCCCCTGAATGTAATAGCATATACTTGTTACTCTGTAATGCATTAATAAAAAAAGTAAGTAAGCTTTTTGGATTCATTGTTTTAAAAAAATAATAATCCTTTATTTATTAAAATGAAAGAATTCGAGGTAAACATAACTAAAACTTTATGTATGTAATTGTAGTAAAAACTAACTGCAAAAAAATCCCTGATCGTTGAATTGTAGTTATTAATTACGTACTCTAACTACCATCGAAGATAGAAAATAATGACTGAGTACATCATTAACAGAGACTTTATCAAATTCTGAAAGAACATACCTCAGCCAGCATAATTATTGCTGTACTTAATTATTATGTACAATTGTCAATCTTAGTAAACAGTCTTGAACGAGATACTATAAAATTTTAAAAGCAAAAACTTTTCCAAGATGCCTGTGTGATAACAGGACATTACTTCCGTCCCCTTCCGTAAGCCGCTCCAAATATCATAATCTTATGCCCGCTTCAAAGCCAAAACATCATGGCATTAAACCGTTACACTAGTTTCTTCATAGTTTGACTTCGTTTTACTTGTTTCATGTTAGCAATAAGGGGCTTACACAGTTTGAAAAGATCGACAATCAACTCCAACAACAACCTGTTTTTCATTTTTTGGCTTTTTAATTGAAAGAGTCACAATGCCTGCAAAATGTTAATTTATTATTCACAAACATCCCATTTGACAAATTATTTGAAATCTTCGATAAAAACATTGCTTCCAACATTTTTCTTTTTCACAGAGTCTTGCGGCGACGCACAACCTTAAATAAAATGAAATATCAATAGACAAAGTCAACGATAATATCATACTGAAATCACTATGTGCGTGCGCGCTCGTCCATAACGCAAGTCTAATTATCCATACGTGTTTCGTTTTCTCTCTATTGTTAGGTCTTCACCGGCTGGAACAACTCCTGGCACATCAATAGTAGGAATGACATTGTCTTTCAACGTTGCTTTAGTTTTGAGCGACTTAGTCAACGCAGGATTCACGTTATAGCATGAATCGTCAAAGTTGATCAAAGATGCGATGTAGCAGGAGCTTGAAAATTTGATCGATGTTTACGGACAAAATTTCCCCACTTTCTCCGCCTTTTTAGATCTTTATCTTTTTAGTAACAAGATACAATGATATTCTTTCAATGATTTTCTTTCCGAATTTTAATTGCAACCAAACTAAGTTTAATATGTTGCAGATATTGGACGGGAAAGATCTTTTCTCTGACTAAAGTCCACCTATATAAATTCTCCTCATTTCTGGATCTCACCGAAGCTGAAATCTAAATTATAAAATGTCAAAAAATCTGGGTTCCCTCTTTCTATAAAGGCAAAGCCTGCTATTTTGGGTGTCTTTAATTAAATGAAATAATAAAAAATAACATATTAAAAAGGCTTTATTTGTATAAACAACATGCACGATATTTTAAATGCTTTTTAGCTTTGCCGTTTTTGTGAGCAAGATATTTTAAATTGCACTTTTAATTTAGCATGGGAGAGTAATCAAAATATCAGTGTCTATAATAGGATGCATATGAGTTTGTCGAGGTTGGCGTATGCCAAAATTTGACATTTGAGGCAACCACGCCTTCCTCCTGTCTCGCTGTTTTTCGTTATTTTTGAAGCTTTATCAATGACCTGCTTCAACACAACAAAAATGCCTAACATTGTTTTTCAGCCGTTAATTAACCTGGCAACTTTAAGTGTTTCTTTTAAGTCAACAACCTTTTACGGCATTCCCATAGGCGTCCTAGAAATCCGTTTGAGTTTTTTATACAATCGATTTATGTATTGAGCAACAATTCTTATTCATGTGCAGTATGTTTGTCTAACTTCAATTTTTTATGGTCTTAGCAGTCTTATATTTTGACAAGGTAGGAAACTTTCAACACAAAATTGCCGAACCTTTAATTCAAACATTTTCAGAAAACCGTAAATATTGCATAGATAATTGACAAAACATAGAAAACAACTGCGGCAAAATAATAACGTTTGTTTTTACTATATTTTTGCAACTTTAACAACATTAAAATTTTTTTCTATTGTATGAAAAACATCAATGTTTTACGTTTGTAGCCAAAATTTTTCAAAACGTATATAATTCAGGGCCACTTACCTTGTCAGTCGTCATGTTTTTGAATGTTCAAAGGCATCCCAGATTGGCAGCATTTAATTCAAAAACTGTACTAGCCATGCAGTCTGAATACATGCGTTAACAAACATACGTGCATGAAGTTCGACGAAATTTCGCGCGTGACAAGCATTGCACATGAATCAAAGAAAGTAATTAATATTTACGCAAATTGGTTGCACATAAAAAAGGTTTCAATGCTGCCTGTGGCACTCCTGTTTGCTGATCTTTTATTGATCTTGAGACACGCAATAGGACATATACCTGAGCCAAGAGTCGTAACAAAAAAGTTGTTTGGGGAGGTGCATACCATATATTCCGTTGTGCCCTACTGATTTCTTTTGAAAGTGAATTGAATTTCAAAAGAAATCAGTAGGGCACGACAGAGCCAAGACTCTGAGCTCATCTATGGCAAACACAATTGAATTCTTGCATGTTTCAATGAAACTTAAGAAAGCCAAAAATAGTCAGCCTACAGTGAAATTTACAACAATGATGGACAAGGTATTTGACATTCTTTATTCCAAATCCCCTCAGGCAAAGGGATACAAGCAGCTTCTGAAAAGAAAATCTGAGGACACATTAGTGTGATGCGAAGAGAACCTAAAATCAAGAATGGACATGACATAAACTCAAGCAGAAACCTAGGCAGTATAATAATCATGGAAGTGTGTCATCATTAGCGACAAACCAAGTCATTTAAACATCTTTAATGATCATACTCATGAGTGGACCAATGACCCTGATGAATACCACGAGATGAAATTGATTACGTACACTGCCGACAATTGCTTCACCCTTAGGCTCTTCATGTACGGCATGTGTTTTTATGAAACCGTTATATTCAAAATGGACAACTAAGTTACGGATTCCAGTTAACTAAGTGATTTTGTTTAAAATCCAACGAAATTTTATGAACTAATAATAAACATTACTTATCGACCGTTAACTGTACAGTGTGTAAACTGTTTCCGAGGACGTCTTTATGGTTTTCTGTAAGTTTGAATTATATCGCTTGAAATAACATTGATCGTTAACTGTCATTTCCTTGCAATTCTTCTTTTGTTTCTTTTCCTATATCCTTTTAATACTTAACAGCTCATAGAAATGAATAAATAATAGTAAAAACACACTAAAAAGAACCGAATAATTCCTTGTACATGGAATACTTTTTGCTATCGTATAAGCAGTCGGCGCACGTTATCAGGAGGGAGAGTAAATGTTATTGTGCTCAAGCTGGCTTCAACCAATCATAATGAAAGTATGGAAGTTAGCATTCCAGGTATTTTTAATTCAATAAATGGATCACAGTCCAAAATGAGTAATTTTATAGTCAAATGTAAAATGTAAACAAACTTCTTGAAAAAAAAGTAAAACAAAAAAAAGTGAACAAAGAGTTTAATTATGCGGAAGATACAAATTAAAAAAGATTTATTTTTACTGACAAAAACTAGAAAAGTGAAAGTCAACCCTTACAATACAGCAAGGAAGAGAAAGAAAGCAAGTTTTGTTTCAGGACAAATAATGCTGTACATAATAAACATTTTAATAACCTCGCTTTCACGATCTTTATTTTACTAAGCATTTGGTTGGTGCAAAAAGAACTCGGCCCGATATTTCTCCGTAAAGACCTCGAGCTCAGTTATTAAGGGCTTAATATATATGAAAAAATTTCTCAATTCTGGCTGGCTCGTATATTATAATTCCATTGCATGTTAACTTTCATAACACCATAGCTTTCCCACACGCAGCTAGAACAAGGTAACTACTTTTGGCAGTGCTCATATTTTTTCCAAACACGTCTTGCAAACGGTGAATTGAAAGCTCGTTCACCAAGGAAAATTTACGTAAACTTGCACCAGACATTGCATTTGCTTTATTTACTTTAATTTAACTTTCACGCCTTTCAAATGTTTTATTTTGATTGTCTCTTACATCACTTCTTTGTCTGATTAACCAATCAGGAGCAATTTTTTTAAAAAAAATGCACTATATTTCCTTTTTCTGAACCGTGTTTCTTATTTTTTCCCTCTGGTATTCACAATAAATTACACTGCTCTTAATTAACCAATGAGAACTGAGAAATTTATTCATGTATATTATTACAACGTAAATCAATGAAAACAACCTAATGTTGGCTTCTGAGTTTTACACGAAAATGGCGATTATAAAAAATGGACAAATGACATTTGAATTTCAGTTTAACAATATTAAGCAACATTTGCACCTTTATGAACAACGTCCTTAGCCAAACGATTTTTGTCGATCTTGCGTAAAGCAGCGGCAAGTTCTTCGTACCACAACTGCTTATTTTCTCGTGATTCAAACCAAAACGTTAGCATTTTAAACCCTTGCCAGATCACTTCATGATGATTTAGTTTAATACTTTCTACTATTGCATCTCTGACCTTCAGAAATATTGCCAAGTTCTTCCATTCACCGGGAATTTCTTTGGCAATCTCTAGCAGAATTTCGTTAATTTCTGCAAAAAAACGCACATTTAAAAGCAAGTTAATAGCATTTTTTACTTTGGAAGAAAATGTTGGACATCCTACATGAACTTTATAAATATACATAGGAAGACACTTGTTAAAATACATCAAAGGTATGTCATAGGTAGGTAGGTAGGTAGTTTATTAAAATATTAATTGCAGCCTTGCGGCTGAATTGCAAATATCTAAATTAGTAAAATTATAATAACAAATAAGTATCTAAAAATAAGTATCTAAAAATCTAAAAATAAGTATCTAAAAATGGTACTCGCTAACACCAACAGAGACAAAGAAAACTCCATACCTGGCCACTTTTGTGTAACTTTATGTACACAAGGACAGGATGAACGAATTCCTCGCTCTGTTGGTGCGAGCAAGCGGAACTATATATTTATGTTTACTTCTCAGGCTATATTTACAGTTATTTTTGTTTGGCAGTAAATTTCTTAATTTATGGTGTTCATTTGTTTCAATTGTCTGGAAATAACATTTACATAAATCTTCATGGTGTAATTCTATTGGTGACATATCTAGCTTTTTTAGCCCAATTTTATAACTATCATAAGGAAATATTATTGATATCACTCTTTTTTCTACACGTTGGAATTCATTTTTTAAGTAGTTTGGTAAGGAATTGATTTAAGTACAACTATGGATAACAATATAATGGTGCTTTCAGTAGTAATGTGTCAAAATACTAGCACCAAATTTATGCGATCTACATTGGAAGTTTTATCAAAGTGCATTTTGCAGTGAAATTAATTTGCAATTTTTTGCATGATTTAAACTGCATACGGTACGTAGCTATAAATTATCAGCCAACACTGCTGACTGCCCAACATAAAATTCGAAATAAAGTCATTTTTTAAAAACAAATATTTAGTATTTGTAGCGTTTCTTCTTTACAAAAGACATCATCAGACAGGTAAATAAATAATCAAGTGTGCGTTTATATTTACATATTGGAAGTGTAGTAATGAGTGTTGGATTACAGTGAAGTGTGATGAACATGATATATATGTATATAAAAATATTATATAAAGTATGAGTGAAGATACTGATATGGAGTGTGAAATGGACGCAAAACGTAGTGGGATATTTAGAAAAGTTCAAGTGGGATGGAACTGCCTTGGTCATTCAATGTAGGTGTTAGATGTGAGAACAGGAGGCTTTCATGGATCATTAAGTCAGGAGTGTAAGGTGACGATGAGATGATACTGAAGTCGTCCAAGGAAGCTGTGATGACTTTTTCCCTGTCAGGTGCGAAATTCCCAGGTGCTCTGATATTCTGGTTTAAAGATGGCTTTGGTTTGACCAACATACGACGCGTTGCAGCGTCGACTCTTAAATAGATAAACAACACGAGATTTCAGGAACTTAGGAATCTTATCGTTAAAAGGAAAGAAGGAGGAAATGTGTAAAGAATGACGGAAAACTAATCTAATGTTAACGTGAGGGAAGGCAGCGTTACAGAGGCGGTTAAGTTGTGTGCGTATTTGGGAAGAGTGTGAGCCTATGTATTGAAGGCAGAAATAGTCGAGCATCTTGGGCACTGTGATAATATGGGGTTTGGGGGAAAAGACGTCGTCGAGGAAGAGGCGAACAGTTTTGTCCAAAAGTTGACAGGGGAAACCATTTGAATCAAACAGTTTTCGAACCATATCTAGTTGATTGTAGAAGTTTTCGTAGCTTGTGCAGATGCTAAAAGTACGGTAAATAATGGTAGAGATAAGGCAGCGTTTGTAGGTGAGGGGGATGAAGCTATGGAAATTGTTATTTTGTTCGGTTTCAGAAGAGAAAGTTATGTTAGGATTTTGTTATTTGAGAAAGTTGTGGAACAGAGGTATGTCATTAGGGGAATGAAAAAGAAGAAAGCAGTCATCAACGTAACGTCTGTACAAGAAGGGTTTGAATAATAAAGGGCAGTTAATTAACCATTTTTGTTCATGATGTGACATAAAGATGTTAGCAGAAAGTGATTCTAACGGGCTAACCATTGCAACACCGTCAACTTGTTGGTGCACTTTACCGTCAAAGATGAAATGACAGTTTTTACATCTAATGTGAGTAGGCTATGTAGTTGGGATCGTGAAAAATTGTTGAATGAGGACGTGTTAGAGAATAAGGTGTTAAGAATGATATCAATTGTTTCGTCTACAGGTATGTTAGTAAAGAGTGACTTTACGTCAAAGCTTGTCATAACAACACTGCGTGAGTTGGTGTTGCTGTTTAAGAGTTCTTGAACAAACGAAAAAGAGTGTTTGATGATTAGAGTGCTGGTTGTGAGTGGAGTGAGCATTGGGACAAAGAATTTAGCGATGTTGTAAGAATAATGGTTGATGGATGAGAGTATGGGTATGAGGGGTATGGTCAATTTATGAACTTTTGGCAGTCCGTATAGAATACCTATTTGGGATCCAGTGGGGTATAGTACCTGATACGTGTTTTTGTTGATAGCGTTTGACGCTAACAGTGTCTTTAATAGCGATTTCACATTGCCTTCGAGTTGTAGGGTGATTTTAATCGGTTCTTCGTTAAGTAGTTCAAATTTAGTTTTGTCGGAAAGAATACCATCCATTTTCTTGCTGCAGTCTTCTTTATTAAGTATTACTATGCCGTTGGCTTTGTCGGGTTTCATGATGGCGAGGTTGGTGTCATTTTTCAAGTCGTTGAGACAGTCAATTTCATCTTGTGTATATAGGAAGTTTGGTCGGTTGTAGCTACGATGGCCAGACAGGGCGATATCGTCAATTTTCTCAACCAACAACATCGTAACATAACTTTCACTTCTGAAACCGAACAAAATAACAATCTCCCCTTTCTAGACATTGATATCACACGTTCTGACAGAAAATTCGTAACATCCGTTTATCGGAAACCCACATTCACTGAACTCTTTATACACTACCATAGCTTCATTCCCCTCACTTATAAACGCTGCCTTATCTCTACCATTATTCACCGTACCAACATCTGCTGAAGCTACAAAAACTTCCACAATCAACTAGAGAGGTTCGGAATCTGTTTGCTTCAAATCGTTTTCCCCTCTCAATTTTTCGACAACACTATTCGCCTTATCCTCGACAACGTCTTTTCCCCCAAACCACCTATTATCACCGTGCCCATGAAGCTCGTCTATTTCTGCCTTCCCTACACAAGCTCACACTTTCTTCAAATACGCCCCCAAATTAACCTCCTCTGAAAAGCGGCCTTAACTCACGATAACATTAAGTTTATTTTCCATCCTTCTACACACATTCGCTTCTTCTTTCCTTTAAAGGATAAGATTCCCAAGTTCTTTAAATCTGGTGGTTTTTGTCTCTTTACGTGTCGACGCTGCAACGCGTCGTATGTTGGACAAACCACACGCTATCTTCAAACCAGAATCTCAGAGCACCTAGGTTCGTCCCTTACAGGAAAACAGTCATCATGCCCTACCAAATCGAACATCCTATCTCACATCAACATATCAGGTCAAGAGCTTCCTTTGACGAATTCACTACCATCTTATCCTCACATTAAACTGCTGACTGAATGATCCATGAAAGCCTCCTGATCTCAATCTATTACCTACACTGAATGTCCAAAGCAGTTCCGTCCCACTCGCACTTTTCTAAATATCACACTACGTTTTACGTCCATTTCATACTCCATATCAGTATCTTCACTCATACTTTATATAATATTTTTATATACATATATATATCATGTTCATCACACTTCACTGTAATCTAACACTCATTACTACACTTCTAATATGTAAATATAAACGCACACTTGATCATTTTAATTTCCTGTATGATGATGTCTTGTGTAAAGACGAAACGTATAAGTAATTTCTTAACAAAATGGTTTTATTTCGAATTTTATGTTGAACAATTGTCTTCTTAACACGAATTCGTTTCTCGCCTGTCAAGTCCCTCGCTACAACACTGATGATGTAAACAATAATTTATTTTTGCATAAAGAATGTGTCATTATGGACTTTGCAGCGAGAAGAATTCCCTAGGTTTTTCAAGAATATGCTATTATTCGGCTCAGTCCTCTATAGAGCCTCTTTATTCCTTGTATTGTCAATTTTACACAACAACTAACCATATTGTAATCATACAACAATAAGCTATAAATGCGCGTGCAGTGTTATGCGCATAACGGTGTTGTACTTTATAAAATTATTAGAATGATAAAAGAAAACAAGAGTGCCGAGTAATAGCATGAAAGCATGAGTGTTACAGGGAAAATTATACTTTTCACATATTTACTGCATTTGACTTGGTGTGCTATAATGCTAGAGTCGTTTAAGTAATAAAATGTTTTCGAAATAAGTTATAAGCCAAATGCCAAATATTTTCTGTTTCATTTTTTCATTTCTTAAAACCAATTGACTAAGTAGGAATTGTCGTGCAGCAACCTGATTTATCAGCAACCTGCATTTAGATTTAATCCGATCAAAAACTGATGATGCATGACAATCTCCCTAACTTATGATAAATCCATTACTCTTGCAAAGCATTGTAAAAATCTAATAGCATTAAATAAGGTCAGCAAACGGGAGGTTACAGGAATATTAGGGAAATTGCACCAAGCCTCCCAGGGGTTATGAATTGTCTTTTCTGCTGTGGAGTGGTTGTCACTTTTATGCTTACGTAACACTGCATCGTCATGATTATAAAACACACTTACGTTGTGGCTACAGAACGTTAAGAAAAGCTTTTACCTGATTTTACATAGAAGCCCAAATGCAGTACTTACTACAATGTCTCACTCACTGGACTGAGTGCAGTACGTAAAATTAAAGAAACACAGCCCATAAAATTTAAGACTTCTAGTAAGTCTATTATCAGAGCAATGATAGAACATTAAATCTCAACTACAGCAAAGGATGCCATATTGGAATCTTAGAAAGAAGGTCCAAAAAACCATATTGTACACATTTCGCTAAGTGGAAAAAATCTTTGTAGAAAGACAAATTAACTTTTTAAATGTGATG